CACCACCACCACCACCACCACTTTACGCCCCCTCCCTATCGCATTTAAATAGTCGGTTTTCTTACAACGAAATGAGGGACAGCTTCAATCGCCGGTTTTCCACCTGCTTCTCAGGAAATACCCATAATGATACTTATTACTATTGTGCGTCATCTGTCCTGGGAACCTCTATCGTTGGTCTTTACTCACATCTTTTTATCAGGCTTATAACGCTGACTTCCCGCTATAATACCGTTTCAGGGCTTCCGCCGGGTTTCTCTCCATATCTTTTGGGATAATGCTCCTCGGCGAAATACTCTATATCCTTCGATACCGCGTGTATGTGGAGACCTGGAGTGGTAAGTCCAGCTTTATCTTCGTGCTCTCGTTCTCTAAACCAATTTAGCGATTATCTCCATTTTTGCGCTTGATCTGACCCTTCTTTTTTATTTAGAAAAATACTTGTCGGGCGCTATTGATATTCGACATAGGCAAAACGATTATTATTAGTGAACCTTTTGTATGTATTTTCGAGAAATCGATGGTAGATTTTACTTGGGCGTCAAAAAGTAATCAAGAATTAATATTACCTAAGTAGTGTATTGTTCATGCACGAGATCTCTGCAGGTGTTCGCGGAGATTCTTCTTCGGAAGTCATGGTGCTAACTGCGTGTGCTCCGTGTTTATGAATATTGTCAATACAGTTATTAATCCTTCCCATTTTAAGGATTATTTAAGAGGTAGGTTTGTGGTCGACAATTTTCAGAGCGCATTCTGTGTGCGCACTGCGCAGGCACCTTTACTTACTTTTTGAAAAGCATGTACGAGAGTTTTGAGTGATCGGGTGTCTGACTCTCTCAAATGATGAACTCCACCACTGTCCAACGAGGTGGACTCAACGGTGAATTTACGCCTGAACTTGTTCATAATGGAACCGACTTTGACTGCAACCACCTCACATTCTACTTTGAAGTGTATCGCACTTTGATGGCAAAACTAACTCGGGAGGATCGAATCTTGCAGACGTAAAACATGCGTAAAGGCCATATTAAGAGAGAGAGAGAGAGACCCTCGTTCAAAGAATGGGATCCCGAGTTGTTCCCTTCAACTGGAAAACTTGAAAGCCGCAACTGCCTGCACCTCCTTATAGGTCCAAATGCGCCACATTTTTGTAGTGAGGAATGATCTGCTTTGCCATGCCAAGGGATTTTCAGAACTAGCCTCACCATCTTCTCCTTCTTTAATTGACTCGAAGTTCAACCGTTGTTACCGACGATGCCCCACCACGATGTGCTCCACAGCAGGATAGGCACAGGCACGGTGACTTGCGCGTGAATTAGTTCGTAGTGACAACAGTCTTGTTCGTCATCCACTACATCCTCCTGGGCCCGCTGTTAAGAGGGTCAAGAAGACCAGGGGCGGGGTCGGGCGCAGATATCTGGCGCGGCGTGAGCCTGCGCCCAGGTGTGTATGACGTTCGTTATGGGTACGCAGTCCACTAACGCGTACTAGATCCCGATCCCCCACGTATTAGTTCAGCGCAACTCCTGAATGGTCCGTTGTAGGGGCTGCCAGCAAGTAACTAGTGATTTGCCGGAGCCCTTCAGACAGTTGTCGATAAGATTGGGTACAGAGGCGGAAGTGGCATCTGGCTCCATCTGACAGTTGGCACACTTCTGTGCGACAGAAGTTTAGGACCCACGCAGACTTATCGCAACTCGTCAAACGCATTGCATGGGCCGATTTGACCCCAGCTTTGGTCCAGCCCAACACTAGTGCAGTCCACTTGACTCTGCGTCTTGAGTGGCCTCTCATTCGCCAAAGCTCCACCCGCTGCCATCTGTCAGAAACTTCGACCCTCAACCTGATGTGCCGGAGTGGGGAACGGGGACGCCGACTTTTGAATTCGGCAACTAAAGAAAACCACCCCACCGCCCAACCGTCCAATGCAACTTCTGTCCAATGGGCAATAGCTTAATCAGGCTTTGGGTCGACCGGAGGGTTTTGTCTGCGCGTTCTAGGAGCATTTTATGAAGTCCAGTGACACTGCGGGAATTTATTTCCTCTTGAACAACAGAACCAACACGCTTGATTTCGTGAACCATTTCGTGACTGATGCCTGGTGTTACTCAGACGTAACCAGGTCTTTTACGTTGCTGATTTTGTTCTCTTGGCGTCCGATCGTTTGAACTGAGCGGGATCTAGTCTTTAAAGCTGACCCCTCCAAAACTCGCTTCTTCGTTCACATGCGCGCACTTTTATACTAGTAGAATTTGACACCGCTTCCCTTTGACGCGATTGTCAACTTTTCATGTCAGACCTGAAGCTATAGCTATTTTAAGTGTACTCAGTCTTTTCATGCATCTTGATGACTCACGTCTCGACGTTTAATGGCAGTGAGCCGAGGATGTCAGATGGCGACATGCCACATCCTTCAAAGCGACCTAATCAGTCTGAAATTGCATCCATCACAAGCAGCTATTGCACGCCGGGCTTGACAGAGGCGTGAACTTGAAGCATGGCAGAAACTTGGGGTCGACCCTTGACTCCTTCTAGGGCGGGTGTTTAGTTGATGCACCAACTATGGGAAACTTGGTTTCTATCAATTTTGGCCCTTGTGGACATCTTAGTGATTCTGGCCTTTCGAAATGTCCTTTTACCTGTAAGGTAAATGGGTCAGTATCATTGCGCCTAGAGGTTAAAGACCTGATTTACTATTACTGACCTAATTTATTGTTCACGAAATCACTAATCTTCTTCGCAGGCCTATGCGACTTTCGAGTAAAAACCGCCTCCGATCCCAACTACCCCCCAGTGTTACTTCACCCGCTTTTTATAACCGCGAAGATTCATTTTTATATTATTTTATTGCTTTACAAAGTTTCACAGAATCTTTTGGGTAAACACAAGAAAATAGTGCGATTTAAACCTAACCTCTTGGCTTAAGTATAAACACGCATTTCTATTTTCTAAACACTAGTAGCTCAGCGAAGCTGCATGCTCAGAACGCACAAGAGGGCTGAGTACCACCGATCTGTTTCGTTTGATTTTGTTTATTCTTCTATGTAAACTCTCTTGGTAGCATTTTTTTCCAGACGGATCTAAGGCATTTGTTTTCGAATTGCGGCGGGAGCTTACTCTCAACGGAGTGACGATACCGTCACATTTGTGCGGCCAGGCGCTGATTTCAGGGCTACTTTGCAGCCTGTGTATTAGTGGACAGTTTCCTGAGATTTGAGAATGGCACAATGAAACCGTAGGGTCACCCAAAAGTTACAAATGTCCTAGAGACTACGGGTGTACTAATGGGCTGGAAGACGTTTATCCCTGCACTTTTTGCTTTTTGTATGACATCGCCTACGAGAACTCTAACTCGGACCTTTAGGTCAAATCACAAAGCTCATTATTAGCCCTGTAATGAGGATAATTTCCAAATATTTGGTCTGCATTTAGTTTATTTCATGGTTGAATAGGAAGGGCTGACAGCAGTAAGCCATACAGGATGATTTCAGACTCCCTTGTCTTTGTCAGCAAAACTTATCACAATCGAACTTCGTTATCATTTTCTGACAATTTAGTAGGACCTTTGTGCCTCTAACACCAATCTGCAAAGTGATGCTTGTCTATCCGAACTTTCCGTTCAACACCATTAGGTTCCACTGTGGTAGCTAGCGTGTTCAATTTAACTGCTTGCTTTATAGTACCTTTGTTCTTATGGTGGAGTTGCTACCTCTAGAACCTTCGGCCTATTCTTTTTGCTCTATAGGCTGCGATTTTTTGGAAGCTCTGTCGGATTGGGGTATCTTCTTCAGACTTGGCGTTCCCGGTATCTTAATGATTGCCCTTGAGGAGTGGTGTCTAGAACTGAATACATTTGTTGCCGGTAAGCCCCACTCCTCTGTTTTTACTTACCCACTTTGGACGGCATTCTTGACATGGGCTACGTTCAGTTGTAAAATTCGCACATTTCAACTCTTTTTTTCTCCCTTCTAGGTACCATGAGTGAGGAAGTTCTGGGTGCCCAGGCCATCGCATTCCAGATTCAGTCTATTATTTACATGGTAAGTTCTTGTTGCTGTCTGAGGTGTCTGTCCAATCTTCGAAAAGCATATTATTTAAAGGAACCGTTTAAATCGAAAAACTTCACATGCGAGTTGCCACTTTGCCCTTACACAAACTAGCCTTCTCTGACCCTCGGTGCTTTGACAATCACTTGGGCGCTCCAAAATAAACTCATTCATGGAAAATTGTTGCTGATAACTAGGCAAGCTGGAATGAACTTCCCTGCCCTACTGGCTGCCCTCATCCAGTGATTCCCAAACCCCAGTCCCTGGTGCGTTTGAAATTTGAATCTAGACCCGGTGGGCAATAGTACGTCTTGTGACAGTCAAGGAAATCTTCTCAACTGTAATCGCATGTAATAAGTTCTTTCCAGTCCACTGGCAGAAGTCAAAGTTGCCGCGTGTCTGGAGTGGTTCAACAAATAGTCAGGCAAATACACGATGACCCGACGGCCATCACAAAGCGCAACGAATAGAATTTGGAAACCCTATCAACGACAGCTAGGGTGAAGTGAGCCATGAGGAATGCTTGAAAGCGCATGACTACAGACGCTGTCGTTCTGCTGCTCCGAATTGCTGGGGATACCAGCACATGTTACTTGGCGTCTGTTGGTGGCGGAGACGGGGACTGGAGGTAATCTGCCGACGGCCTCCTGATCGCTCCCGGTCCTCAGTAGTGAATGTACTGAGTAGAGCACTCAGTTGTTTAACTAACTGCTCCGGCTGGTCCAGGTATAGGTCAGACCCTTAAGAAGTTGAGTTGGCGGTATGATTGGTGCTATGAGTTTCAACAACTCTCAACGCCATGATTTTATTGACAAGCTCTGCTAGTTCCTTAAGCTTCATTGAGAAACTGCCAGGACTGTCTGGGCTCCGGGTGGTGCGTGTTGCGAAAAACGTTGACAGAGAATTGTGGTCTCGAACTCGCGTCCGCCAAAAAGCTGCTGCAGTTGTGACCGTTTCCAGTCGCCAAGTTTCTCGCCATTCGGTGTGAGGAGAACGGGTATTGATTTCTCGCATTGCGACATCAAACTGGAACTTGATGAAAGGCTCCTGTTGCTGCCGACGGGATGGGTCACCAATGTGTGGCAGCGAAGGCTAGCTGTTCAACTGTAACCACGTGCAATAAGTTCTTTGCCGTCTAATGGCAGAAACCAGACTGCTGTGCGTGTTAGTACTCTTATTCTGTGAGTCAACAGTCGCCTTGACTTGGCGACTTGTTCGTAAGTCAGAACAAGGTGGATTTTGTCTGCATATCTGACACACACGTGCCAACATGAGTGATTGGTTGAGTTATTTGTGTTTGACGTGTGATTGGTTGGCCTGCGACTTAAGTCGAGACTGCATGATCACGAGATGCCGCGGTAGGCAACCCTTGCCTGCCGACGCACCGGAGGTGCCTGTTTGTGGGCGCAGCTGGGCCAGGGGCGCCTCAGGTGAACCCCGAGGGGTGGCCGTGCGTTGGAAGCACACTTGCAGATCAGCTCGGCTGTTGGGGCCGTGGACTTACAGCCAGGCGGCGGCGCGGCTGACGTGTCGTAAGGCCTCGGTTTGCTGCGTGGCCCACGTGCGCAAAAGTTTTGGACTCACTTAACGGCGCACGCAGGCCTGTACGCTCCCCCCCCCTCCGTTTTATGCTTGTGCTGACCCACGGAGCACCCATTGAAGACTGCGAGTGCGCCGCTGGCTGCGCCTTCGTACCGCGTGACAAAGGAGCAGTTATCGTCACAATGGCGCGTCCCTTGGCACAAAGTCCCAGTGTGTAGAATTGGTTGATTCTTCCCACTCCCAAGTGATACTCCTCATCCGTCTCAGAAATAATCTTACTAACATTATTTGCCACCAATTGAAACTCTTTCTTTTTTGTGCTCGGTGTCATTATCTAAGAATAACTTGACGGAAGGTTAGTCCTTATAGTACCCACTCTTAATGATCTGTCCTCGACTAGGTCGGCCTGACCAGAATCACCCCGTGGGAGAAGTAAAGTCAGGGTAGACGCTCTCCCCTCTGTAATATCTACTGTCCTTGTCCTTACTCATAATTGTTGTTTTTCTTTTATTGCCCTTACCTACTTCTCTGTTCCTTTTTGCTTTACTTACATGGACTCGATCTGAAGAATAGCAGGGTTGTTGGGTGTATTTCCAATGCTGTGATGTACGCACAATCTTATCTACACCAATAATTTTCAACATCTTCCTGAGATGGGATTCTTCACGAGCCTTTTTTATGCAGCCGCAAAAGTTTTTTCCGCAAAAGATCAGCATGCCACTATAGGACTTAGTATGAGACTATACTTCGTGATTATCGGTGTTTCGTTTTTGTGGGTTTCGGCCATCTTTTCCCCCATGCCTTCCTACCCTTCATCCCCCAACGCCCGAATCACACTACCCTAAAATGGGCCGCTGTTAACAGTTTGAACACTCAGGAGTAAACTGTTGACTACCCAAAGGGCCCTCTGCCTCCTCGATAGTACGTGGGAGTAATTACTACTGGGGAACTGCAAATTTTTTTGAAAATCGTATGTGTTTCTTATGGCTGCTGCCAGGCGTTTCGAACAATGGTGGCAACATCAAGGGTTGTCTGGCTTTAGTAGTTAAAGTTAGTTACATGAGTCCAAATTCTGATTAACAACCGGCCTTTAACCGAACGTCGTATGTCTTTTTTGAGTGCGAACCCGACTAATCATGTCGGGTCAGTATTAGCAGTCAGAAACTAATAATTGAAAACTTAAGGTATATGGCTTATTTAAATGTAGACATGTGGCAGGAAAGCGTTAGCGAAAAAATTGATTGTAATGGCCATTTCTGCCTCATTTCCCGTCATCATTTGGTGATGTTGGGACCCTAGTCTGCTCGCATGAGACTCAAACACGAGTGGTGAGGGCTTCGCCCCACTGTCGATTGACTCGAATTCGAATTTCGGACGTGCATTCCAAAGTTCGACTGTCTCCTGATGATGAAGACAAATGACATTCCTTTGTCCCCGTTTTTGTCGAAAAACCTCCTTCAACGATTACTAATCGGTTTGCCGACATTCGTAATAGATCGGTCCAGTCCCTCTCATGTGGCTAAAATTTTGACAGGGTTTGCTCTAACGACGTAGGCTAGATTGGGGATGTACATATCCGCACCGTGCGACCGACAGCAGGACTCCAGATCGAGAAAGTCTCGTAACTTAGTCGCTAGGCGTCTTTCCAACAATATATACATGCTAAAAATACTATACCGTTCCCTCGACCTAGGTGCTAATTAAAAACTCAGGCACGTGCTTCGCCGACATTCTGCCGCTGCGTGACACAGCTGCGAGGGGTTCGGCTTCTCAGCGGCTCCCCCAGCGTTCTCTATGCGGTTTCTGGTAGATGAAATTTCATGCTACTTGTGGTACCACTCGTTTGTAGAATGGTACTACGTGCTTATTCCACAGTAGTTGATTGTCTTCGACTCAAATGCTCACTGAAATTTCGGGTCTGACCCTAAATGTCCCGGAGACCTAACTCCATGCCCTGCACTAAATAATTTCTGAACTTACTTACTTGATATATACATATATATTTGCCTGTTCCTGACCTTTGTCACCCATACGGAGCTTGTTTGCTTCGGAAAGCCAATACATCGGTGTGCGCCTATTCCGGATTGAATAAATACCCGATCTGCAGTGACAGAGAATGACAGGTGGCGAGGCATTAATGAACTTCGGTTCAATGAAGTGCTTATGACCCATCTGGTAGGCTTCATTGATGGACCAACTGCGCCAGGTGCGTCTGTGCGCATGTTTGTGTTTCTGGTCCCCACTGCTGGTCAGGGTTATGATTTGCTGAATGAAGGCAAAATAAGCCCGAAACAGTACTGTATCAATCTACCCGCATTCTCTATTGTCCCTTCTTGCTGCTATTATGACTTGGCCGACTTCGGCCTACTAATTGGTTGCCTGTTCGTGACCTTTGCCACCCATACATGGCTTGTTTGCTTCGTGAAGCGAATAGATCGGCGTGCGCCCATTCCTGATTGAACATATATATATATGTATGTATGAAAAAGAGGTTCTTCGGAGAAAATCGAGTTGTGCTCGTGAATATTCGGATTGGTGACACCAACCCGTCGTCAGACGAAATGAAGTTAAAAGAGAACGTGAGACAGTGACACTAGACTAGTTGACGCGACAGGACAAACATTGACGGGCGGACCATTAGCGTGTGAGGAGTAATGGGAACAGGGAGTCATGCTGGGTTCTGAGCCGGGAGGGAAGGAGGGTTGGTGTCACCTATTCGAAAATTCACAAGTACAACTCGATTTGTCCCGAAAAACATCATCTGTTTTAATTATACCGTCTCGGAATGCATACCACCTCTGCTCTACAATATATATATATATATATATATATATATATATATATATATATATATCAGGTAAATAATTTCAGAAATTAATCAGTGCAGGACTTGGAGTTTAATCTCCGGAACATGGCGTTTTAGGGTAAGGACCGAAATTTCAATGAACATTTGAGTCGAAGACAATCACCTACTGTGGAATAACCACGTAATGCCCATTCTACAAACAAGTAGTACTACGAGTAGTATGAATTCCATATGGTAAAGGTATTATACCGTACTCCCGACATAGATACTTGCTAAAAGCCCAGACACGTGTTTCGCCGATATTCTGCCGCTGCGTGACACAGCTGCGAGGGGTTCGGCTCTTCAGTGGGACCCCCAGCGTTCTCTAGCGGTTTCCGGTATATGAACTCCAGAGAATAATCAGGTGATTAATTTCTGAAATTATTCACCTGATTATTCTCTCTGGAGTTCATATACCAGAAACCGCTAGAGAACGCTGAAGAGCCGAACCCCTCGCAGCTGTGTCACGCAGCGGCAGAATATCAGCGAAACACGTGTCTGGGCTTTTAGCAAGTATCTATGTCGGGAGTACGGTATAATGCCTTTACCATATGGAATTCATACTACTCGTAGTACTACTTGTTTGTAGAATGGGCACCGCAACTCATGCCCTTCCACATGTTGGGAAACGTCAGGCTGATCTTTACTTCCTTGATGTCCCACCAATCTGACTTTAACTCATCCCCTGACAATTCGTTGTTTTTGGTTTGTTAGTACGGATCCAGCACCACTTGTCAGTCTCACTCTTTTGAGAAAACATTGTTTAATGATCAGGGCGTACGAGTGTGTGCATCACAATTTCTTTCCTGTTTCAATCTGTCGAGTCTTTCTTTGCAAACCAGGCCATATTTTTTTCTGTCAGATACCTCTTGGAATATCCACCGCAGTAAATGTTCGTGTGGGTCAAGGCCTCGGTGCTTTCAACCCTAGCGCAGCCAAGTACACCTATCATACCGCGCTGACCGCCATTGGTGAGAACTTTTTTGTGAAGTATATCCGATCTAAATTCGTGAAAGTACTCACTGTTTTGACAACATATCCCCGCTAACCAACCCACCCACCAAATTTGACTGTCAGCATTTTAAAATAAGAAATGCACTTGTTTTTCAGACTCGCTTACTTGAAGGCCTGCCATCACTCAGACAACTTCTCGATAATGTGCCTTATCTCCACAAAGTTATGCGACTTTTAGCTGGAAATGTTAACCAGTCTTTAAAGTGAAGCTTGCTTCTCGGTTAAAGTGCATTTTCGAAGTCCTCTGGCGACTTTTATAGTGGCGCCACAGGAAGATCGGTTTCTGCGATTCTTTTTATTCTGGTCGATGAACTCTCCAGGTAAAATTTGCTACAGAGTGATCACTCGAGCAGTGGCCAAGATGAAACAGACATCTTAAAACTAGAGCACGAAAGTTTGGGACGGAAACTTTCGCGCGTTTTCGGAAGTTACACGTCAGATCTTATGCTGTCTTGACTGTGTGAGGGACAGACCTCTGTGACAGTTTTCTTTAATAAGTTCTATTCTAGATGTACGGCCACTATCCATCGGAACCCAAGACGGTGGTTGCATAATTGCTTGCTTAAGTCAAACCTAGCCTTATCGTAGTAGGTTAAACTAAGCTCAATGCTCATTCCTGATTGAGCTTAACCGTCGTTTTTTTGTTTGACCAATAGAATCGTTCGGTTTTTGCATCTAATTTTATTGAAATACTCCAGTCCACCTAAAATTGGTTCGATTTTCGCACATTGTCGAGCTAACATCGGAGACTATTTAGAGGAAGGAGCGTCTTAGAGGTGTATTTGACTCGAGTCTTCAATGTTTTGTTGCCGCACCGCACCTACTTCACCCGTATTGTTGGCGATGTAAATAATGCTCGATGGCAAGGCATTGTCTTATCTCAGGAAAACTACAGAAATGTTTATTACGACCCGAATGCGTCTTCCACCGATCACGTTCCATGTCGCTCGTACAATACAAATTTTAACCTCCGGTATGATTAGTGATGGTTCTTGTCATGTCGCGAACCTCTAGTTTTGTCACCCCGAGAATTCAGCAAACCATCTTCGCGTCATCTTATTTATATTTTCATGTAGATGCAGTCTTCTGCATTCTGGTTGTAGGGCAATGAGTGAGGGGTCTTGGTATCTGCTGTTTTGGGAACCCCTACCTTTTTAAATTTTTCTCACGCAAAAAGGATATTTCCAATTAAGTGGCTTTTTCTACTTAAGCGAACTTTGCAACTTTTATCAACCATTTACTTCCTCTTTGTTCGCAGCACTGCTCTTCAATAATGCAATCAATGGACGGCGGCATTGAAACTCTAGCTAAGAGGAGTCAGAGACTGGAATATACACTTATACTGTGACAGACGCATTAACTAGTCCGTATGTTGTAAAGAAACTGTGACTTTAGTGCCGAGACATAGAAAACTCATGCACAGTGGGGGAATACCCCCTGCGAGGCGGCATCGAACCACTGCTGCCTCCATCCTCCCCTTCTGATGGTGCTGGGTGCGCTGCCCCTGAGTTATTGCCTCTGTCGTTTATGTTAATTAGTCGCAAGTGGCGAACTTGAGTGAGGGAGTGTAGGTGCTGTTCCTGCTGTCGCAGTAACACGTCACCCGAGTTCTTCTTTTCTCATCACATGTGATTCCATTTCTGGTGACCGTGCAGTTAAACTTGAATCGTGAGGACTTCGAGTGATTATTCGATGACGTTCATTCGCACCCCCTCTGGCTTTATATCATCAAGCGTGTTCACGCATACGCATATCGACAATCGTTGTCACAGGTATGGTCATCTAGAGTGAAAATTCCCACAGAGTAGGTGTTCTCCTGAAATTTTCTATTCTCTTTGACGCTCTCTGCTGCCTACTGCCTGGCAGATTGAATGGTTGAATTGGCGTCGTATTTTTTTACTACCCCCAAACATATGATGATTCGTAGTGTGTTTTATGTCTTCCCGCCTACCAACAAACTCATACTTTTAAGTGTTACCAAATAACTCTTTCTGTCTATTATAGTTCTCATAGTCTTTCTTACGGCCGCCCCTGTCGTAATGTTGCGACATAGCATCCCTTTCATATTTACTTCAGACCTGTAAGTACTACTTATTCCACCTTTGATGTTTATTTTCCTAGTGCACTCCGTTTTGTCCCGAGTCTTGTGTTTAAGTTGCACGGGAGTTTTCCCAACTCTTTAAACATAATTTCTCCGTCTGATAGATTGACTCCGAGTAGTGCTCACTGGCACTATGACACTGCGATAGGACCTATCCCTTAAGGGCTTCGTCAGTGAATGCACAAGGACGCATTCTTGTGGATTATCAGTAGAGGCCTTGCGCAGAAGTAATAGGTGTAAATTGTCCGACCGTTCACATTCCTGCACTCCTGGGCAACACGGCTTAATTTTATTTATTTAAGAGAGAGGCGCGCTCGTCATACTATTGATAAGCAGTTTGGTAAATATCCATTTGCCCCAAGGAATGTGGGAAATGTCTCCCTGACCAAAATATTTATCAGTAGCGTTGGCTTACATTGTTTTACTGGCAGATTTGCAAACGAACCTTTTCCAACTGAACTCCAGACTCACTTATCATCTTTTTATTTGAGAACTTTAACGGCGCATACTCTAAGTGAAATTCTTGTCTGCGCATTTTCCCCATTAACCGATTCTACGGCTTAATCTTCCTCCCGCTTTAATGGCATTTGAGTATAGACATACCTATCCTTCCGGTTGTTTTGACATCATAGCGTTTGTGAGACTGCATGTTTGCAGCCAAAAATTTCTGTAAACCACACTTTAGGGGAGTTTCCTTTCGGGAAACACGACGTAGAGTCGTATTTACGACCCCTTTAAAGGTATTCAGTCTTCAAATTTAATTATTATACTTTCAGTAAAGGTAGGAAACACTGTTAATCCATCTTAAACTTTCCTGAAAACTACCCTACTTGTTGCAGAGTTTGAATGCTCGGTAAGGATTGCGTCTGTGACTCCCCGGCAGGACATGGCACAAGAAACCTCCCCCCCCCCGTAATATAGGTGGATTTGCCCTATATTCAAGCAAAATAATTGTTAAATTTAAGTTTATTGTTAGGGCTGGCGTTAAGCTTAGAGGAGGAACACGGTAATAGGTACCCCTCCTGGGGTTTGGCACAAAGCCACATATATTACGGGCAGTGGGGCGTTCCCATTCCCGTATCTGGACGGGCCATATAAGAAATGGCAGAAGGGTGCTCACCAATTGCGGTTGGGAACTCATTCGTCCCGTTGTACCTTTTTGGCTCTCTCTGGAGCCCCGTCAGCAGCCGCGCAGCGGCGCTTTGCTATAGGCAGGATAACAATACCGACAAAGACAAGGGAGACTGGAATGGCCATTTCTGGCTTTTTAGCCGTCGCCAGCGATTCATGCCCAATCCCCAGTTGTGGAACACCTGGGACTCGATACCGCGACCTATAACGCGATCGACGAGCGCCCTTCTACCGTCGTGTATACCCGATCGCAACCGACAGGACAACAAGCCCATGGCTCAGTGGCTTGGGGCGTTGGAATCCTGACCAACGGGTCGTGGGATCGAGCCTCAGGTGTTCCACACCTCGGGGTTAGTTTGACTGGCTGAAGGCGGCTAGTAAGACAGAAATGGCCATCCCAGTCTCCCTTGTATTTGTCAGTAATGCCATTCGGCGTATAGGAACTACTCACCTAATATTCATGTGGAGGTTTTGTCGCTGGGCGTTCTTGGAAGGCCGGAAAATATGCTGAAATTAGGCAACAGAGACTCGTGGATCACAATTTTTGCATGATTACCTGCCCCGGCAGGTTATTTACTCCTGGTTTAGTCAGTTAACTCCTGTCGCAGGCCATTTCTTTTGAGATATCACCGATTTCCCCATCTTTACTTTTCAGTGAAGTGGCTGCCAAGGCCACAGAGATCATTCCCATGTTGTTCATATTCCAGCTCTGTGAGGGCTTAGCTGTAAGTCTGTTACGCTTTTGCCATCTTTGACCTCATGCCTATTTTAAACCAACGTAAAACTCAGGACATGTACTTCATCTATTAATAAACGTAATGCGTCTGCAGGACTGTAACCGTTTGCCTTTGCTAAAATGAAGACACTTCGCGTCTCATGTGAGAGCAGTTGGTTTTTGTTGCCTTCCCGAAATCACCACTAACCTGTTTATCTCTAATATCGGACTGAACCAGCTATTCTATTCATGTTGTAGCATATCTGTCCTTCGGGAAATTTCAGCTGACCGCGACTAACGATAACCGTTTCCTTGTTTTAAATAGGCGCGTATTGTTTACTTTCAGACATTTAAGCCGTGTTTTAAAAGGCGGAAGTGTCGTTTTCACTCTCACGCAGGATGTTGATGAAATGCTTTCACTTTACTTGTTAATGAAATCATTTTACGCCAACGGGGACTTTTTAAGAAAAACCAAACAGACTTTTATTTCGATTGTTCATCGTTCTAGGAAGGAAAGATGCCCCTCTCGGTAGCCCTCTTATGCTTCGCAGTAAAAAAACGATTTCTATGCTTTTTTGGGCTTTTTGATGTGTACTTTGGCCGATGTTAGTCTCGCAACTGGTCATCGATGACTACTCATGTTTGGGAAGAGGATGTTCTACACGAAGTAATACGCCTCTCGTAGTTAACCAAACAAATTTCCCCTCATAACCTAGTAATCATGGTTGAATAATCTGTCTTGTCTTCACTCCACCGGTTCGATTCTTTGCAAAGGAAGATTATATCTTCAGTAACCTTTGATCATCCACTGAGAACAGCTGTAACACATGTTCCACCAAGGCCACTGCACACAGAAAAGGTGAAAACTTTAGTTCTCATGCCGATAAGTCCTAGAACCTGCGCTCTTTTTTCTTCTCTGTATTGCCGAGAAACACCGAATATTTTATCTGGATACCATGTGGATTCTCCAAATCCTCGAACGTTACGAATAAGGACTGGAGGTCTGTGGAAGAGGCGATATAGGCGTATTTGTTCATTTTTGCCCATCACAAAACTCATTTGAACATTTCCACTGGCAGACTATAGGAAATAGGGCACTCGCACAGCCAGAAAACAGATGTCATTTGATAATTTGAAGCCATTTACTTGTGGAATTCGCGCCTGGTATTTTGCCAAATATGAGCGACCCACATCTCAGCCTTGTGGACTTTCCATATTTCCTTATCTCTGCCTCGCAAACCGAGCTTATCATAGTCTTCCCTGACATTCTTGTGTTATTCAATTTGCTTTTTAACCCTTAAGCTTTTTGCCCACTGCGTCGCCAACTTTCCACTCACTTTCAGGGTGTCTCTGAGGCAGTCCTACTTGCCTGTGGTCGACAGGTCCTCGGAGCTGTTACCATCTTCTTCGGCTATTACGCACTTGGGCTGCCTCTCTCCTTTTTCTTTTATTTAAAGTGTGACCTCGGAATCATTGGTAGGTCCTCCTTTCTTGGTCCTTAGTCGATCATCTATAGCACGAACTCACCGCTCTTTGACTTATCCCCCACTCACTTTGTTGACTTGCATACCGTTAGCTGTGCTCGGACGCCTGCTCTTCATTTTCTCCACTCCAACCCTAAGTGGATACATCCCTCGAAGCCTTTAGCTTGATTGGTCGAACGAATAGGGAGTTATGCATATCGGAAAACTTTATTATTTCACAACGGCAGCGGACACAAACGGCCTCAACTGCACAGTTCTAAGCTTCGCTTCCTCATTCCAATGAAAAGTTTTCCCTCCGGGTGACTCCTCAGTCACAAACTGTGCTTGAGCCCCGCGTTTATTCGGATCCTTCCCTGCAGTAATATGGTCTCATCTAAGGCTGGCATAGAAGCGTGACTTCCATACATTCTGCTGCGATATCGTTGGATTCTGGTTTGTTTGCTAACTAGTTTTGTTCCCTTGGGTTAAATGAGCTCGTGGAAGATTTCTGTATGAGAACGGTGCTCGATTCAGCAAATGCAGACAAAAGCAGTTGTTTAGGGACTGCTCTGCCGTCAGCATTCTTCTAATTTTTCTTAATTACGATGAGTCTCATTCTGTCAGTTTGGGGATTTCCATTCTCAGGTGGTTTTAAGTGCCAGAGGTAAACTGAATAAAACAGAAGGGAGACGAAAACAGCAGTCCTTTTCGGTTGGTTCAGTAAGTCTTAGTAAGTTGTTGTCGCAATTTCCCGGCACTGTTCCTACCCACCTTTAATATTGTTTACTTGGTAGTTGGTTCCTTATTCACATGGAGCTAGTTTGCTTTGTGCTGCCAGCCAGATCGCGGTGCGCTCTTTCCAGTAGGAATCAGGGAGAGCGCACAGGGTGTCGTGGTCAGCGCCCCATGTCGCCGTGATACGGTCACTCCTGATTCACGATGCGCTTACTTGACCATTCCATGACAATGCATTTGCGATTCTCTTTAATGTATTTTACGGATGCTTCGTCCTGTAAAGCTGCTTGTGGATGCCAAATACGAGGTCGGCAAACCATAAGAAACAAAAGCAACCCTGTCCGCAACCCATTGTCCCCTCGCCTGCCAGAGTGAATTTGCCCGTTCTGACAGCCTGGAGTATTTGTCAGAATTTCGACAGCCCAATGCTCAACCGAACATTATGGATGACGACTCTCATTGCACGTAAACTTTTTGGATGCAGGGAGGATATCACGGCCATCAGCAGAACCCGCTACATCGTCCATGGCCAAATGTATGAATTAGGGATGAAATACACCTGGAGTGCACTCTCAAGGACAAAGCGACGAGACCCTGTGGTAGACCTCGCCATAAAGACCAGCATTATGAGGCAAATGTTGTCTCTCCTGTAGAATTATCGGTTGTCAATGACCATGAGGCCTCTACCCGTAGGAGGAATTCGTCGCAGTCATCAGCTCCTATACCAGTCCCCGGTGGTGATGTAAAGGACAAGTTCTACGACGACCCACATGTCTCTATGTCTGTGCTAAAGGCAGAACTACCACCTCGTGAGGATGGGAAGTACACGTCTACCGGAACAACTCTTCTATGGTGATGTCGCCACGGGTACTCGTCGACGACAACGACCAAAACGGCGCTATAAGGATACTTTGAAGAGCTCTTTGAAACGACTGAAGATCAACCAGAAGACCTGGGAGAACCTCGCCCAGAACAGACATAAATGGTGAAGTGAAGTCCAGCTCAGCCATCTACGAAGCAAATCGGATCGTCGCCGCCAAAGTCAAAAGGGAGGCGCGCAGGTCGCATGTGCCTCGACTCATCAATGCCAACGGCCAGCCGCTTCCGATATGCCCGCGCCGTCGCCGCGCATTCCGCGCTCGAATCGGCCTTGTAGGACATCTTCGGACGCAAAGCGTTAACAACCCGACAACATCGACTTCTCCCACGTTCGCCCATACCGCAAACCCCGCGACAACGACCACACTCGTCACCGCGATCACACTGTTGCTGTCCCGCAGCCACCGACATCATCCGCCCTGCTCCCACCTCAGCGACCAGCGCCGCCAATACCACGACACCACACTCTCCCCCACCAGTGAGACGTCGTCCGAAGTCACATCACCTGCTTCCTTCACCACCAGCATCTCCACCTCCAGCGATGTGGACTCAGTCCATACATGTCCTCATTGCGATCGCACATTCATGTCACACATCGGCCTAGTTGGTCGCTTGCGGATTTACCTCACAGAGACTGGCGAATCAATGCCTGGAGCACTCACACTCGCCGCATCCGCTTCCACTGTCCACGCTGTCCCCGCACATCCACTCATCGCATGGACCTACCGGGTCATATGCGTATCCACGACAGAGGAATTCATCGCAGTATGACGCATCTAGTAAGCCAAGCACACCCATCATGCCTAGCCAAATCAACATCTCATTGCCCAGCGCGTCCATCACCACTACCACCGCCGCCGCCACCACCACCACCACCACCACCGAATTCGGTTTCTAAACTCCCGATCAATCCAGCCCACACTGTCCCTGTACATTTGCCTCACACATTGGCCTGGTCGGTCACTTGCTAATCCATCGCGCAGGCACTGGCATACCTGTTCCTGCAGCACCAACCTACACTCATCGCATTCGCCTCCAGAACCCGTACTGTCCCCGCGCATTCAGCCACCGTATGAGCTTACTGGATCACATGCGTATTCACAAAAACCTGTGGTAGACAACCACCGGCTACAAACTATCACACCTTCCACCACCAGCACGTGCACCACACAACAACGTTACCCACCGCGAAAACTTAATTGCCACCTCCCACGCAATTGGGAAGTGTGTTTTTCGGCCCCTTCTGCATGTGGCTCCTCTGCTGCATGTGCGGTCTGAGTCTGAGACTATCACGGTGCGCTAATCACTGTGGTTTGGAAGGCTGTAGACTGACGCCTCAACTCAGCCCGCACAGTCTGCCCAGTTGTGTGCGTTTGTTTGCGGTGGCGGACTGATGGGTTTAGAGTCGGCTGCCACGACTCCTTAACGTGACCTCTCACGCATATGAGGAGTGTGTTTTACGGGCAGCGCCTGTCAGTCGATGGATAACTGGTAACTGAAGTGGGAAAAGAGTATCCCGGTAAATAGTTTCCTGGAAAGAGCGGGTGTGTTCAGTATTTATATTATGTCGAAGGATAAAGTGGGATAGATAAATAGCAATTATACTGAAGATTGTTAAATTCGACTTTAACCAACCGCTACGCGCTTGCGACGGCACAACCATGAGCACTCAGTGTTAGTGGAGGGGAATTATGTTTGCCCACCGTTTCTTATTTTGCTGACTCAATTTCTCAGTCCTTTTTTCTCCACTGGCATTTTTACCATCTGCGACACAGCGGAATGTTACAGTGTTTTCTCAGGGCGGGCAGCTTCATCATCATTATTAGGTTTACGTACGAGTTGAAGGAATAAAGAATACCATGTTAAGTTTCGTCACATGAAACTTTTCTTTGCTCTCGATTCCATTATTTTTTTCACGTTTCGAATGCTATCGGTTTTTTTCCTTTTTCATAAAGGGATGTGGATTGGCATAGCCGTTGGTTTCCTTGTTACTGCTCTGACGTACACATTCTTCGCTCTCCGCACTGATTGGTTACAGCAGTCCAGAAGGGTAGGTTTCCTGGTCAGTTTTCCTGTAAACCCGTATTTCGCCTGTAATTTGTCCCGTTTTCCCTTGTTTAATTACAGGCGCTGAATACTGTTCGGCAGCAGTCACACGCATTCGCCGGTGAGTTGCTTCCCTTCGCTTTGAACACTCTTGTTGACGTCTTTTAACTGATCCGAGGTCTATCTGTATAGCGCTCTGGTGTCAATAATTCCGTTCTCTGCTATGAAACTTCTTGTTTGCGTCCTCACCTCTTGTTCAGAGTGTTGTTGGGCATGAGACGGGCCCTCGTTTTGATTTGATCTTATAGTCCCTTTGCTGTATCCCTGACTTTAGTTCAGACGGTAAGAGGTAAAGCAGGCGGCTGACGGAATCTTCGTAAAATCTAAGCGACAATGCTGCTTGATATAGAATATTTTTAGCAATTCGTGTCTTAGTAGGTTGCCAACTGACACGATAACACAATCATCATGAGTGTATTTTAAGCGAATGTACGTTTCGGATGTCAAGTTACAATGGCTCCCCCCCCCCAATGTGGTCTTTATTGCGTTTATTGAAGCCTGGCGCGTGCTGCAGAGGCCAGGTCGTATGTGGCACGCGTAGGCGGGCTGTAAAGCTTTGTCAACCACTGCGCATGAGCTCACCTCCGGTTGTCTCGACATTGTCTCATCATCGGAGCCTGGCGGTCAATGGAGGAAAGGGTGAAGTAGATGCTGCAAAGGTCCACCTCAGCATAAACTAGTTCCCGCACACATCGCCCACTCCTTTGGGAGCACGGTAGACGTCGCGACGACCGAACTATCATGCCTGGAAATGGTTTGGGTTACTTTATATGTTACAGACTTTGCGAGTCCTGCCGGGGACTCTCCTAAGTGCTGTGCGAATCTACTTTCCATTGGGAAACGTCAATTCTGTCTGCCGACCTTTTCATTCAGGTCGTTCACATCGAAGTAACTCATGCTTGTCAGGCAATTCCTCTTGACGAATTTTTTCCCGACAGTCTGTCCATCGCCTTTGCATGCACCCCCATATTTAAGGGAATTCAAACTGCTCGCAAGTAGCTGAGGGTCTCTGCTGAGAACGCTGTTAACCTTGACACATTGTGTGATCGTGACGATATTGGATCCTGGTCCTTACGGGCGATTTAAAGGGAATATCTATTAATATACACAGATGATGGCCATGACCACCGCAGCCCATAGCCAGAGTAATAATTGCGAATTCAAACGTCTAGCGGTTTCGCCTAATCTGGCGGCAAGCGTTTCCTCGTCGTGCGCGTTCGCTGTTTCCGGGGTTCACTTTAAAGAATTAGACTAACCCCCCGGTATAGGTAGGGAAATCTAATTGGGTTGGGCAGACAGGGTCATGGCCTCATAGACGGTGTCAATCATGGACCTGCTAAACAACCCGTTGCTAGTGGACCTGCAAATTGGCCCTTTCTGCAAGTTGAGGGTAGAATTTTGCTAGATTGGCGGTCGCTTTGAGCCAGTATATCAGCTCAGTCGGAAGGATATCGAAGCACCATTCGCGGTTTTCATCTGTATTGCAGTACGTACCTTATTGTTTGATTTAACTGATTTTATGCAGTCTTCCACCACTTCGCGTTTGACACACCCTTGGCGTATACGTTTCTTTTTTCTTTTTCCTACAGACCATGAAATCATTGAAGATGGCATCTCCGGAATCACCTCGTTCAGCGATTGCTCCGAGAAACCATACTGGTCGTCGACTACTCGACGCTCCTGCAACTACGCGGTCAGAGTTCGTGTCTTCCTCTTTATCCTTATCGGGTTTCTTCTCTTCGGGTCTATTGTACACCGCAAAGCCATAGCTGTACCCCTGTGGTTTGAGCGGTGTGTGGAGGGCCTGCGGTTAAATGGCACCTTAGCACCCTACTGTTCAATGGATCTCGCAGGCGTTAAGGCCGCTGCAACTCTGTCCACCTAAGACCTGCGGTCTTCGCAACAAAAATGCTACATTTCGGAGGACTTTTCCACACCTCCCTCCTCCCTCTACTGCACATGTCCATGTCTTCCATCTGTCTGGCAGATCTACTGTCATTACATTTTGCACAGTTCCCTGCCCACTTAATCACATTGTGGCTGAGAACTACTTCTTTTCTCACTCGAACGAGATTTTCACCTCGAGAAGCTCGACTAACTGCTCAATCTGTACATTTATGAGTCCTGGTATTTATTTTTGACGAGGGTTTCTTGTTTTGCTTTTATGTCCTTGAGTTTTTATTTGAATTTTAGTATTTCTGCATCCGCAATTATATGCCCGAATTGTGCTTCTGCTAGGGTAGATTTCCCTCCCTTCTACTTCCGCGCCACCCAGGGACGTTGCTGTCGATGCATTTTGGGAGGAAAAAGGAGGACTTGTCGAATAAATGTCTTCTGCAGGTTCTTCTGCTTGTCAAACACTACTAGTTTTAGGAGGCTGGGCCTCTGACACATTCGTGCGATCAGCGTTATAACGAGTTGAAAATACGTACTTCAAACAAAATAACTTGAAAACACCATCTTGTCAAAGTGTTATTGCACTCGGAACAAGACTTACGTACGCCAAAGATGACCCAACATACTCCCGCGTCAATATTGCCCATATTCACTGTAAAGACTCCCTTTCGAACTGGTTTTACTGTCTGATCGACACCAGCGTGTCCGTTCAAACAACCAAGGCTGTCCTTGCCTAGTGTAATGCAGCGCACCACTTGTCACCAAATTTAGGAGCTTTTTTCCCGCAACTCTGCTGAGTCTGCCGAAATCATAGACTTCTCTCAGTCGAACCTAGTGGTGTTGGCGCATGTTTCCGTCTTACAGACTTCCTAAGACAGCAGTTCAGCGTTTTGTACAGGATAAATCTCCCCTTCTGGCGTCATATATCTGCTAACCGCGTCTTGTTCTGGTGATTTATGGATGTCAGAACATCCAATACCCTATCCGCTACAGGCGTTTCTCAGTCTTTCTTCGATTTTACTAAATAATTGTCCCACCTCCCTTCATTGCCGCAGTCACCTGAGACCCTGTTAAACGTCCAACAGCCGGTCTGGTTACAAAGTGTGCCTTGTGGGGCCGGTAATAATTCCACCGTAAAGTGACTCGTCTGTCCACCCTAACTTCTGAATGAGACAAACCAACCCGCTTTGGCCCTGGGCATGAATTACGGTCCTCGCAGGGAGAGGGGGTGTCATGGGAATCAGTAATCAAAAGCAGACACTGGTGAACCTAAAAGGATGGAGAGGTCAGTTTGGCCGTTTCTGGCTTCCCTGCCGTCGTCAGTCAGTCTCCTTCACTTCCCAGGCCTTCCCGGGGTGAGGTTGGATATGACTGACGGAAGATGCCAATGATGTCATCAACTGATTTCTTAGTCCATTTCACTCAAGTTCCTTTTGTAGCGTCTACGACAATCTTGACTGTACATTGAATCTTGTTGCACTACGTCTCGTTTCGAAAGCTCCTTTATGAAACGTAAATTGACCTCGAAATTTTTTCTTATATTCTGTTGCTATCAACGATAATGTATAGCAGCAAGTGGTTCCAACCCTCAATTCCTGTCCAAAAGTCACGCAGGTAGGTTTTTTCATTTTTGTCTTCATCCAGTCTAGAGTTGCGCGCCCTTTTCTATTTATTAGTTTACCAATTTTGCCGTGCCCCAGTTGTTTTTGGCTGAGGGCTCCAGAACTCTGCGTTAGCTTGCACGGGCAACATCAATATGATGAAGTGGATGGCTGGGAAACAGACAAACTTGCACAACCTGGAGGTAATTTGATGCAAGGCGAGTTTTGATTATGGCTACTCTGGTCTCCTGTCTCAGCAAGTCTTCCTGGCTGTCCTCCCATCTATGCCCTCTGATGTTTATCCAGGTCCTGTTTGTTTAATTTGCTGTATTGGTCTACCAGTCAGCATAGGTATTATTTTGCCGCGAAGTGCATGCAAGCATTCTGAATCTGTGCAAAGTTAATCTTTTGCGCATATGGCCCGGAATCTCATTCAAGTCCAACGATTTTTTCTTCTGAAAATAAATCGGGACTTGTTGGCTTGATTGGCATTTTGTGCGCGAACCATTTTTGAAATCCAACTAAGACAGTGTATGTGACATTGTTGTTGCTCACATTTGATAGGTATTTTTTTAGCTTCGACCATTTGTAGTGGTAATACCACAAATTTTTTTAAGTTACCCCAGTTTTCTGTTATTAGATAAGAGGTTTTGTCCTTCAAAAATGTTGCGTTGTAATTGTTCGAGAACAAATCATCGATTGTTACTTTTGGTTTTCTTCCCTACTGTGATCAATGTAAACGGAATTCAGTGTGTCCGGAAGAATGTTTGCTTACGGTTCTGTCTAACATACCTAAAGACACCTACTGGCATCGTTCTGTGATCTAAAACGACCACATGCCGGTATGCGAACAATTCCATTTTTGACTTGAGGTTCCGGTGTTAGGATGCTTTTGGGCAACAAGCAATGTCTATTCGAAAGGTAGAATGGTATGATGATTTCTGGCTTTTTTATCGTTGGCATTCGCACACACCCTAAGGCTTTGCGAGATTCAAATCTCGGACGAACCGGTCGCTGGACTATTTGGGTTACAATTCGAGTCATAGGCCCAAGCTTTATTGGCCGCCACAGTCGCTGTGCGACCGCCCGCGATGGCTCTAGATCTGAGTTCTACGACTGAACCGAACACCCGTATATCATTTTGCATTCTGTCTAGACCGATGAGCACCGCTCACCCGTAACTTTCGATCTTCCTGACGACATTTAGTGGCTCTAGTTTGGGGGTATGTGCCTTGCTGATCATCCGATCCCGTCCTAAAAATCCAGGTATTCCCTGTCCCTCTCCGCACTAATATTGACCGCCAGCCAGAAATATATTAAGAATAGCCAATTTACCCTCCCTTGTCGACAATGTTTATAGCTAGGGCAAAGTCAACTTGGAAGACGGTTTAAATAAAGAGGTCAAGTCAATTTAACCTCTGAACTGCTATGAAATTGAAGCTGGCTGTATCAACGCTGAAAAGCAAAATGTACTTAATGAAAAACACCAGGCGTGGTAAGCGCTCAATACTGGGGGACATCTGACGACCATTGTGCGGACGATCATATACGTTTTGGAACCAATTCAACGGAATGTCCATTGTCCAGCAAGTGTTTTCTGAGGGAGGGAAGCAAAATCCATCGTCCTCCATTATTACTCTAAATTCACTTTATCTACCGATTAGGTGTTGAATTCTTCGGTATTCCGAGCCACGCTTATAAACCAAAATATGGACTTCGGTATATATACGCGTTGCTCGGAATACCGAAGAATTCAACAGTACTCGACATTGGATACTCTTGCCCAAGTATTCCTTAAGCAATATTCGAACAAAGCGAACTCCCAATTCAGGGGTAGACAAACAAACCAGTCAAGTAAAAGAACGTAATTCGTGCCAAAAAGGTACAAAAAGGGAAGGGAAATGCCAACATCGGGAAGCAAAATTGGAAACACATGAGAAAGGGATGTGGAGATCCCAACTGGTGAACAAAAGATGTAACGTTGGGGTTGATGCTTTTTATATCCTGGTTACAGGCGAAACAGTTGATGGTTCCTGGGTAATGTAGTATTCATCTAAGAATATCGAGATTTATCATGTGCTTCCATGCGTGTTCTATACAAATTTTCACAGACAGGATGTGTGGCTGACTGTAACTCGTCCTTGAAGTAAAGCATTGTTTTGTACTGAACCTCCCGTGGGTCGGTGTTTCGCATCTTCCTACTTATATTTTTAGGATGTTCTGGTCCAATCCGGAGGAACGGCGCTGGAGTTCTCCCTGTCAAAACCCATGACTGAAAGTGTTCTTCCATCAATGATGTTTGTTATTATTGCACCTTATTATACAGACTTTCCAAAAACCTTCCTAACTGTCCATAACTAGAAATTTACTCCGGGAAAGGAGGCCAATTTTCGAGCTCCTAGGGCATTTTAAAGTAAGTAAGACAGAAGCTAGATGAGAACCCGAACCTTATATTTATCTGTTTTAAAATTTAAAATTTCATTGTATTGTTTGCGATAAACATACTAATATAACAAAAAGCATTTATGGGACATCGCGTTTGATGAGCGACCGATTTTTATAATCCGGAGATGACTTCTTGATTCTAGATGCAGTCAGGAGATCCATATGGCGGCTTTATGGGTTTTTGTCAGATGATCAGTCTTCGGCCATCCAGTGGCTTGCCTTTTCTGCTCGAAAGTGAGCATGATTCCGCAGAAGAATCCTACACATAAGTCATCATCCTCGATATTTTTGCCAGTCGTCCAAGTGTATAAATAAGGTCGCCCGTCTATTGAAAAGTCCTAAACAAGTGGTAAATTCCTTACTTCAATAGTAAACATCTGATTACCTTCATCAGCACATTGGATCAAAGTAATATCTTCGTCAGCACTGGCTGGCGTCTCCCCTCAGCAATAAAAGTATCTGCACCGTCCTATCTGGGTTTTTCCTCGCTTTCTTGTTTGCGCTCAACTTAGTATGACGTCCAGAAAGGGAGGACACCCTCCTCTCTCTTTTCCAGTACGTAATTTGTTCAGAGTGATCCCAATTCATCTTGGTCCGGAGCTGAGGTCGACTTTGTTATCCACTGTGGCATATAAGAAATAGTGGTAAAAATGCCGTGTTATCAGATAAAGTTGTGTCTTCACCAGCTTTGCCAGATTTCTACTAACAGCGGGCGAAAGGTGTGAGCATACTTCTACACCGTCGAGCTGATGCAAAACACACCAAAGCCGATTCAAACATTCAATGAGCATTCAGTAAGTACACATGTAACACAACTCCCTTATTGAAACAAACGTGGTCGTAGAGTTCAGGAACTATATTGAGCCCCTGCAGCAAAACACCATACATTTCGACGCACGCATGAGGTATGCGATGCAGGAAGCCAGTAAGAAATTTTTTAAAT